GGAAAAGGAGGAGATGAGTTTGGTTCCTCCCGGCCTGATGGATCATTGGGGCAAATCGTTGGTACTTATCACTTTTTTGACAAATTTCCTTAGTATCTTTCTCCATGTTGTCCCAGTAATACCCTGCTCTTGATTATTTTGCGAATGAAAGACTCGACGCCGCGGAGTGATTCCCACAAGTACCTTCATGGATTTGTCTCATAGAACGTAATCGGTGTCCCCGGGCCCTAAACATACCGCTAATGGTCCATCGAACGTCTCCTATACAATGTTCCATCTTCATTCTAATGCGAACCTAGTAGCCTTGGTTCACAGGGCCCTCGATTCTTTGTGGTTCGATGGGAGTTTCCATTTTCAAATAATCGATGTACTGTATTCCTCCAATCCCAAAGTCAGATGCGTTAGTAGATACTGATACTTCATCGCATGACCAAATCCACCCCAGCCGATTATTACGAGAGAAACGCTTGCCAACGTCCTACGATAAATTGGTTGGCCGTGTATCTTTTTTTATTTTCGTTCTTCGCAAGCGTCGAGCCATAAGTTGACTCGCGGTGTGACAGGAGTTATAAGAGCATTGTAGCATATAATACCAGTCCCGTTGCATCCTGTCTCTTCGAACTTCAAACATTGTTTACTTGGTTTACCACCTATAGTGAATTGCATTGGCTTCAATGACTTCTGCTCCCAAACTCTTAGCTAAGCTCGAGACCTGCAATCATGACCTCATACTCGGCCCATTATTTAGTCAACCTGAAGTTCTGATAGATTGTCTAATGGTACCCCACCCGTAGGTGCTTTAAGACAATGCCAAGCCCGGAGCCCTTTCACATTCGAGGCACCATCCATGAAAAAGGTCCATACCCCCGATGATGTACCCCAAATTTAGCAGGAGTTCTTTCTCTCCACTTCGGGTACGTGGGGCTCGGCGTAAAATCGGCCACGAAGTCAGCTAGGATTTGCGACTTGATGGCCGTTCGGGGTTGATACTCAATATCGTACCCGCTAAGTTCGGCCGGCCCATTTAGGCCAACTTGCGCCCGATAGCTCGGGCTTATGCAAACATTTCGAAGGGGGTAAGTTATTAATTACATGACACATGATGATGACACTGAGATGATATGCGAAATATGGTTTAGCTTTCTAGATGCGCTTATCATGCAAGTTGTAACTTTCTCCAAGTGAGGATATCTAGATTGCTAGCCCTCTCCGTAGAGTTCGATCTTCCCATATACATATAACAGGGAATTGCGTACCTTGCTCTCTCGTCGAACTAGTAACCCACTTACCGCTATTCTTGGATACTGCCAAGATATAGGTAAAGCTTTTCATCTACCTTCAGGGTTGTGAAGCAAAGGCGGGCTCGATAATTATCGCTTTAATTTTTCCAAGGCTTGCTGGCATTCCGGGGTCCACGCGAAATTCATTTTTCTTTTTGAGTAAGGAAAAGAACCGGTGACTCCGATCTGATGACCTCGAAATGAATCGACCCAAGGTAGCATATCTCGTCCAGCGTTAGCCTTTGACGGACCTTCATACTATCCACGACCGTGGATATCCTCGATTGGCCTTGATCTTGTCGGGGTTAATTTTGATACCCGATTTGACACCATGAAGCGAGGAACTTACCGCGAGCCGACTCCGAAGGCCACATTTCTCCGAATTAAGCTTCATGTTGTACTTTCTCAAAATTTTGAATGTTGCCTACAAATGAGTTAAATGGTCCTGCTGTGCGCAGGGACTAACCCAACATATCATCAATGTAAACTTCCCATTATTTTACCTATCTGTTCTTCGAACATTTAGTTAAACTGGCGTTGCTGATATAGGTCCTGCATTTTTTAGCGCGAAGGGCATTACGTTGTAACAATAAGTTCCAAATTTAGTGATAAACAAAGTCTTTTCCTGGTCCTCCTGGTTCATCTGAATTCGATTGTACCCGGAGTAGGCGTCGAGAAAGTTAGGATCTCGTGACTGGCCGTGGCATCGATCATAAGATCGATGTTGGGCAGTGGGAAAGAATCTTTTGGACATGCTTTGTTTAAATCCTTGTAATCTACACACATTCTAAGTTTATTTCCTTTTTATGAACTACAACTACGTTGGCTAACCATTCGGGTATTTTACCTCCCGAATAGACCCTATTTTAAGAAGTTTGGTTACCTCGTCCTTTATGAATGCATGTTTTCACCTCGGACTGGGCCTTCTTTTTGCTTTATCGGTTTGAACCTGGGGTCGAGGCTTAACCGATGTGTTGGTTTTTTCGGTGGAATCCCTGTCATATCTAAGTGGGACAAAGCAAAGAACTGCATACCTGGGAACGGGATTAACCCCCAAACTCAGGAAAAACTGGTCCTCTGTGCGCAGGGACTTAACCAAACATATCATCATTATGTAAACTTCCATTATTTTACCTATCTGTTCTTCGAACATTTTGTTAACTAGGCGTTTCTATATAAGCTTCCTACATTTTTTTAGCGCAAAGGGAATTACGTTGTAACAATAAGTTCCAAATTAATAGTGATAAACAAAGTCTTTTCCTGGTCCTCCGGGTTCATCTGAATTCGATTGTACCCGGAGTAGGCGTCGAGAAAAGTTAGGATCTTGTGACTGGCCGTGGCATCGATCATACGATCGATGTTGGGGCAGTGGGAAAGAATCTTTTGACATGCTTGTTTAAATCCTTGTAATCTACACACACATTCTAAGTTTATTTCCTTTTTTATGAACAAACCAACTATATTGGAACTAACCATTCGGGTATTTTTACCTCCCCGAATAGACCCTATTTTAAGAAGTTTGGTTACCTCGTCCTTATGAATGCATGTTTCACACTGCGATGCTGGGCCTTTCACTTTTGCTTTATCGGTTTGAACCTGGGTCGAGGCTTAACCGATGTGTTGTTATTTTGCGGTGGGAATCCCTTGATCATAGTCTTGAGGACGACATCTAAGAAAGCACTCCAATTGATTCAATACAGAAGATTGAATGAGTTGGTTTTCACT